CGGCCACTGCACTCCAGTCTGGGTGACAGAGTGAGACTCCAACTCAAAAAAAAAATGATCGGTTCATTCATTTATCCATACTGTCCTTCCTGAAAACCTACCACTCTATGGGCAAGCTCTGAGCTTGAAACTTGGGATACAAAGTCAGTTTCAGCCAGTTACAAGGGGGTGACAAGTAGCCACATGACATGTTTGGAGTAGGACTCGGAGGCCACAGTCCATAGCTGGATGTAGCATGAGGCTGAGTCTTGCAGATGAGCTTGAGTACCCTCAGGGGTAAAATAGAAAAAAGTATTTGAGGCAGAGGGATAGTTCGTGCCAAGGCAAGAAGGCATGGAAGGGCCTGGAGTCAACTGAGAAAGACAGATGTTTCTGATGGGATGGACTATCTGCTGGAGAGAGAGAGAGAGAGAGAGAGAGAGAGAGAGAGCGCGCGAGCATGTTGGAAGGAGGAGATCGTATGGCCGTGGCCAATGAATAATCTTGATGCCATGTCTCATTTCTGTTTCATACAGCAGACAAAGGGAAAACAGCTGAGATTTTTCAATCATGGATCTAAAACGATGAGGGTCGAGGTTTTTTTTGTTTTTGTTTTTGTTTTCAGTTGGCGTCTCACTCTGTCACCCAGGTTGGAGGGCAGTGGCACGCTCATGGCCACCCCAGCGTCGACCTGCTGGGCTCCAGCAATCCTTCCACCTCAGTCTTCCAAGTAGCTGAAACTGCAGGCACGCACCATGATGCCTGGCTAGAGGGCTGGTTTTAGAAGGTGTCATTCCAGAGGCCAAGACACCCAATTCCCGCCTAGACTCCTGCCTGCCCCCCAGGCAAGAGCGTTTAGGCCTCAGAGTGAGGTTTCAGAAAAAGGCAGGAGAGAGAACACACAGACCAGGTGTCCCCTGGAAGGGAAGGACAGTTTGAGGCAGCTCTCGGATGATAAGGCCTGCTTATGGACATAAGGGATATTGGAAAGGGCTTTTTGTTTTTTTATTTTATTTATTTATTTATTTATTTTGAGTTGGAGTCTCACTCTGTCACCCAGACAGGAGTGCAGTGGCCGCTCCCGGCCACCGCAGCCTCGACCTGCTGGGCTCCAGCGATTCTTCGGCCTCAGCCTTCCAAGTAGCTGGAACTACAGGTGCACGCTACCACGCCCAGCTAATTTTTGATTTTATTGTAGAGATGAGGTCTCACCAAGTTGCCCAGGTGGGTCTCGAACCCGCGGGCTCAGGCAATCCACTCACCTCAGCCTCTCAAAGTGCTGGGATTACAGGCTGAGCCACCGAGCCCAGCTGGCTTTTTGCTTTTTTTAAACATGGACAGAGAGTATAAACTTACATCTGCACTAATTAAATAATGATGTCAGGCCGGGCATGGTGGCTCATGCCTGTAATTCACAAACTTTGAGAAGACAAGGTGGGAGGATCACTTGAGTCCAGGAGTTTAATACCAGCCTGGGCAACATAGCAAGACCTCGTCTCTACAAAAAAATTAAAAAATTAGCCAGGTATGGCGGCATATACCTGTAGTCCCAGCTATTCAGGAGGCTGAGGTGGATTGCCTGAGCCTCAGAGGATGAGGCTGCAGTGAGCAGTGATTGTCGTGATCATGACACTGTACTCCAGCTTAGGCAACAGAATGAGACCCTGACTCAAGAAAAATTTTAATTAATAATAATGTGGACCAGGCTCAGTGGCTCAGGCTGTAATCCCAGCACTTTGGGAGACTGAGGCGAGCAGACTGCCTGAGCCCATGGGTTTAAGACAAGCAACTTGGCAAGACCCCAGATCGACGCTAGGGTGGCCATGAGTGTGCCACTGCACTCCAGCCTGGGCGACAGAGTGAGACTCCAACTCAAAATAATAGTAATAATGTTACCCATAACTTGGAACTTCGTAGCATCAGCTTTGTGTGCTACCCTTGAAAATCACACGGTGTCAAGTTCATGATGTGGTGGCATCCTAATTAAAGACATCCTGCAGTAATTCAGAGCCCTTTTCTCCCGCTTCCTTTCTCCCACAATGAGTTCCCACTGTACAAACCCTCTCTTCCCACAAGACACCAATCAGAGTTCAGACTGAGGGCAGGCATGAGTGGGTCTGGGTTCTGGTGCAAGCATGATTTCTATAAAAAGACACTTAGAAAACAAGTAACAATGTTGCCATTTTGCCTTTAATGGAAAAGAGGCTATTACAGTAAAAAAACAACCAAAAATGTATTTTTATTTAAAAAACAAAACTTCATCCAGCAATCACTGTTTTGAATTTTTAGCAATACACAAACACTTGAACATCAATAGTCTTTATAAAAATAAACTCTGAACATGTGATTAAAAAGGGAAAACTCCAGTCTTTTTTTTTTTTTATTATTTTTTTTTTTAGTGTTTTGGATTTTTTTAAAGATTTTTTTTAAGCCTTTATCACTTCTTCCAGAAAGTTCAGTCTTTTTTTTTCTTTCTCTTTTTATTTTTTTAGCTTTTTGGTATATTTTTTTCTTTTTTCAGTCTTTATCACGTCTTCCAGGAAGCCTAGTCTTTTTAGCTGCACAAACACACGACAAAAAAGAGCCAGGAGCCGGATCTGCCTGAGATGGCTCACCCCAGTGTGGAGGGGGCCTTGACCTTGGACACCAGGGCCTGCTTGAACCGTCTCTTCAGGTCCTGCATGTTGGGCGAGCGCGGCCGGGGAATGGCGGGGACCCTCCTCCGTGCCCCACCCAGGTTGTGAAGCTTGCCCACCTCCTTGCAGAGATGCTGAAACACATCACAGACGTCTTCGTAGTTCTCACTGGTGGAAATTTCGAGGAACAGGCTGCCCAGCTCATTGGCCAGCTGGATGCCGTCCTGCGTCTGCACCTGCCGGGCGTGCAGAAGGTCCCCCTTGTTGCCCACAATGATGACAGGGGCTCTGGAGTCAGGGTGGACCTTCCGGATGTGCTGGTACAGGGGCCGGATGGACAGGTAGCTGTCGTAGTCGGTGATGGAGTAGACCAGCAGAAAGCCCTCGGCCCACTGCACACACTTGGACAGAGAGTCGACCACCTGGGGGAGGCTGTCCTGGATCTGGAAGGGATCAGAAGGAGACCCTATCAAGGAGGCCTCGGTAGGACACGGCTCAAAACGCCATCAGGCCGGGCGCAGTGGCGCACACCTGTAATCCCAGCACTTTGGGAGGTGGAGGCAAGAGGATTGCCTGAGTCCAGGGGTTCGAGATCAGCCTGGGCAACATGGCGAGACCTCCTGTCTACAATAAATTTTAAACATTAGTCAGAGGTTGGTGGCGTGTGCCTGTAGTTCCAGTTATTTGGAAGGCTGAAGCGGAAGGATCACCTGAGCCCTGGAAGGTTGAGGCTGCAGTGGCCACGAGCATGTCACTGCACTCCAGCCTGGGTGACAGAGTGAGACTCTGACTCAGTCAGTCAATCAATCAGTCAATCAATATTATAAAAAACAAACCAAAAAAGCCATCAAAGCGGCCCTTGAAGAATAACTCTGAAAAATAAATTACTTCCCTCTCTCTCCCTATCTCCTCTCTCTCTTTCCCTCTCCTTCTCTTCTCTCCCTCCCCCTCTTCCATCCCCTCCTCCTCCCCTTTTCTGTTTCCCTCTACCTCCGCCTCTCCCTAAAAGGAAAAAAAAAAAGAAAGAAAGAAAGAAAGAAATCATCAAATTCAGGTCTCAGGTCCTCCCCAGCTTCTGCAGAGATAGGCTTCTGATATGGAAGGATAGATTCCCAGGCTAACTCCCAGACTGGATTAGTTTATTAGCTGTTATCAGTGCATTCTTTGTAACCCCTGGCTTGACGGGCAGTCTCTGCTGACCCACGGCTGACTGAACAATGACCCCAAACCAGACTGGCTCAATTTTTGGGAAACTAACTCATAACAAACAAAACTTTTTGAAACTAAGCCAACATAAACATCTATTCCCAAGCCCATAAAAGTATTTTGAACTTGACATGCACTTCTTGAGAATGTTACAGAAACAAATTCCTTTCCTTGGGCTCTTCCCCAAGACCTTCCCTCCCCAGAAGGGAGTAGCAATTAGTAACCTGTTAATCAAGCTACATTCCAGACCACAGGCCAAGAGGTTATCTGGATGCAATTCCTGACTTGAGGAAACAGCTCATAACAGAAGAGCTGGACGTCAGCAGTCCTGGGTGGGGCGGGGGAGAACATGCTCTCCCACCAGATTCCCCTTTCCTTTTGCTTTTGTTTGAGTCGGGGTCTCACCGTTGCCCAGGCTGGAGCACGGTGGCAAGGTCATGGCTCACCGCAGCCTCAACCTTCTGGGCACAGGTGATCCTCCACCTCAGTCTCCCAAGTAGCTGGGACTACAGGCGCACCCCAGCACACTTGGCTAATTTTTAAAAATTCTTTTGTAGAGATGAGGTCTCACTATGTTGCCCAGGTTGGTCTGGAACTCCTGGGCTCAAGCAATCCTCCCATCTGGGCCTCCCAAAGTGCTGAGATCACAAGCGTGTGAGCCACCTTGCCCGACCTCAGGGCTGTTTTTTTCTTTTTTAATGGTTTGGGTCTTTTTTTTTTTTAGTGGTCCCCTAGCCACCTCTGAAAGAGGCAGTGAGACCTGCCCAAGTAGTGATGGCAGGTGTTGCAAAGAGAAGTCAAGGGAGGTGATGAGAGGAGGCTTCTCACACCCCACCCCTGCCCCTACCCCCGGAAACAGCCCCCTCCTCCAACTCAGGGCATGACGGGCGTGTTTAGACGCCTTGCAGGTGGGTCCCCGGGTGGTCCCCGCGCGGGGGGCGGGTGCTGTCTGTCCCGGCCGCCCTCACCTGGGTGCCCCCGGGCGTGTCCTGGATCTGCAGGGACAGCTGGTCCCCCTCCACGCAGACGAGCCGCGAATACAGCTTGCCTGGAGAACGAAGGAGAGTGGCTGTTAGGGTCTCGCGGCGGGGAGAGACGCGGGGCGCGCGGGGACCGCGGGCGGGGCGCGCGCCTGACCTGGGGGG